ACACACACACACACACACACACACACACACACACACACGAACACACACTTTCGCGCACAAACACACAAACACATACAGCTTGATAAAAGAACAAATGTTACAGTATGAGTAGCAAACACAAAGAAGGAAACTGGAGAGATAGTGACGATAGATGTATGATAGGAAAGAAGAAGCAAACAACAATAGAGCACTCGTCTACCACTCCGATTGCTCTTTTTTCTTTCTTTTTTTTTTAGCGCAAAAGAGAACAGTTCATTAAAAATTCACATTGAATAAATTAGAGGCCGTATATGGCAATGAAATAATGAGTAGAACATACTTATACCACATTTTTTAGTGTTCTATGGCGCTCACAGCAGTGAAAGGTCATATGAGCGCGCGGGACACACCAAACATTGTTAGTTGGTAGGAAATTTTGAATTTTGTTTGGATGGCGGCTGAAGCCTACTCTTATCGATTTTTGACCACCATGAGATCTTTAACGTGTGCAACTTGCACACGGATACTCCGAGATTTTTCGCCCTTGTCCGAGAAGGCTAGGTGTAGATCTTACCAACCAGAAGATCAGGGATGTGGCTGAAAGACAGCAGTAAGAAGGAGCAAAGAAGGAGCAGTAGAAAGGCTACAGAAAGAGACAGAAGACCAAAGCAGTGGGAAAAGGAGGTGAGGATGATGGGGTCAGAAACTGGGGATGAAAGCAGACGATAGATCTTTGTTAGAGATTAGGAAAGGGTGTGAAGGGGAGCGTTTTAGGGAAGAAAATGTTCCGTCGTTATCAGGATTCGAACCCGCGACTTATTGAATGAGAGGCGAGCATCTTAACCTCTAGGCCACAAGACAGAGCCCCCACGTATACCTTAGAAATCATACCTCATTCACTTTCTTTCCACGAAAAAACATGCATGTGATCGATTGTCTCTTGTGCTTGATCAGGACAGGCAAATGTAAAAAATGAAGTTTTTTTTAAAAACCCAATAACTAAAAGAAAATAGAAGAAAACAAACTAAACAAATAACATGCTACTCCTTGCCGGGGGAGGGGGGGGGGTTGGGTCTTATTTTAACAAATGAAATGTTGATAAGTTGGGGCCCGTTTTCTTTTACATTTAACCCTATCCGTACGTCGTGTTTTAGTATCGTATCCATACGACGTGGGGAACTCTGTGCCTCCACTTTCAAAAAGGAAATTTACTCGTTAATCCCATCCGTACGCTTTGCATAGCAATCTGTCAAAATGATTTTTTGAAAAATACTGAAAGTTTCAAAGAGATCTTCGTACTAGATATCGAAGTATATCTAAAATGTGAAAAATACAACCTCGGGGATACAAAATGACCCCAGGGCGTACGTATTGGGTTAATTAAGCAGTACATTTTTCCTGAAGGGCATAATTTGCCCTGTGTCCATTTCACCTGATGTTTACATTGGAAAACGTGCGAGTAAAAACGTGCGAGTAAAAACGTGCGAGTAAAAACGTGGGTTTTATATGAGTGTTTTTACGCTCTCATTGACACAAGCTATACAGTTTGGGAGTCAGGATCATGGGAGCTCTCGTGGTCTACAGGATTATGGGAGCTCTCGTGGTCTACAGATTACACCTCTAATTCAATAGGTCCCGCATTCGAATGCGGATAGCGACTTTTCTTCTCTTCTCTAAAATGTTCTCCTTTCAAATCCTTTCTTGCTCTCTAACAATGTGCTGTCGTCTGCTTTCGTCTCTGCTTTCTGCCCCCACCCCATCACCTCCTTGCCCCCTTGTCTGGGCCCCTGAATTTTCCTGCAGCTTTTCTCCTTCTACTCTTTGGCTCCTTCTTACTGCTGTCTTTCAGCCACACCCCTGATCTTACGGTAGGAACGATCTACCTTTCGGATCAAAGCGAAAAATCTCGAAGGTTCCCTGTGTAAGTTATTCACGTTAAAGATCCCTTGGAGGTCCAAAATCGATAAGAGTAGGCTTCGGCCCCCACCCGGGGAAAAATTCAAATTTCCTACCTACTGAAAATATTTAATGTGTACCGTGCGCTCATTTGACCTTATGCAGTTGCGAGCGCCGTAAAACTCACTCACAAAAAAAGAAGTCAGGTTTTAACACTCTCTGTCAGAGCCAATCCTGGTTGAGCAAGACAAAACGTCTTAGCAGAAAAACTGCTACTCCTTTAAAAAAAAACAAAAAAACCAAACAAACAAATTTTACCCAGTTTGGAATCCTACCTCTGGGTCCGGCATGCCGTTGTACGACGGTTATCCGTGGCACGACATACTCCCGCCGTTTTGTCCCATAAACGTTCACCAAATTTTCCCATTGGGAACAAGTCGAGACGTGTACAGTCCATATCTGCATGATTGAAACGAACGGCGGGAAGCCTTGCCAATGACTTGCGTAGATTTTACAATGTTGACAAACAAATTATGTAACAAGATTTATTATAACAGTGCGGTCAAACATTCGGGGTGCAACTTATCCTCAAATGTCTCTTTAACCGGAGAATCAATGTCAGCTGTACTTTGCATAGCAGTTTGCATCAATTTGTCTTAACTAAATCATATTTTTCTAGAACAATTGGGGCTAGATTAAAAAACTTTTCTTCATAAATTTATATAAAATAGTTGAAATCTCTGTCACACGTAAAATGGTATTGTTCACAGCACTTCCTGCTTCTCACACATATTTTGATTACACATAATATGGCCTTCGTCACAGCTCATCAATGACAATTTTTATTAGCAAAACTTGTTACAAGAAATTATTGTTATACTGAACTCATTTATTTCATTAATGGTTCTCAAAACATGCGTTCAATAAGCATAATGTCCCGATTAGAAAAACCTGACCGACTTGCTATTAAAATCGATTTTGCCCCAATTGTAAACATTTAAAAATCTGTAGAAACCACGCTCTTGGATTTTTTATTAGTATTTATTAAGGAAATTTCTAGAATACAGCTTGCAGGTTTTTACAAAATATTAATCTGTTAAGGCAAATTCATACAAGACACTGCAAAAATTGGAGAACCTAAGTTCGATAGTTGAGGAGATATTTGAAAATACGTCGCACCACGAATTAATGACCGCAATTTAGATAAGACGCATGAACTCAGCGTGATTGATCCAGCTATTTTATTCCTGACTGGCACGGCTAGATATCAACTTCCGCATAATTTTCTAGGAAATAAGTCTCTATCAAATTCTTTTATGTCATGATTTCGTGTTCGAGGAAATGGAGGGGGTCCGTTACACTGTTACTATTTGTTTTCATACTAACAGGTCTTTCGTGTTCCAAGTGTTCTGCTTTTGTCTACCAACCCCCCCCACC